TCCTCCTCCCCCTCCTCCTCCTCCTCCTCCTCCTCCTCCTCCTCCTCCTGTCATCTTGAGGACCATCTTGGAGGCCATCATGGGGCTGCTGTGGCCCCGTGTTCTGTGCACCCTGAGGCCATCACGGACGAGTGTGCGCAGCGCTGCAGGCGAGGCCTGCACCCTGTCGGCGGCGCGCCCAGGGGGGGACGTGCGATAGGGGCAGGCCTTCTCAGACGCTCCGTGGCTTCGGAGAAGGCTCAGGAATCTGCTCAGAAGGCCGGGGGTCTTCTGCTCATGGGAAGGCTCGCCCCCTCTGCCTTCCCCCCTTAGCGCGCCTCCGAATCTTGAAACGGCACCCTCTTCACGTGCACAACTGTCGCAAGTCTCAAGCCTCAGGATCATAAGCGGTGGGGAGGTTTCGGGCGAAACGCCCAGCTCCCCTACCGACACGTCTGGGGGTGCGACAGGAAGGACTTGTCTATAAGAAGATAGCTGGTCAGAATTCTGCTTTTGAGTGTGAAGCCACAATCTTCGATTGGCCATTTGGCGTCATCTTACAACACTTGTTGTAGTTTGCATGGGTCAATCCACCCCTTGCTGCCCCTCTCTCCCCCTCTTGGTGCCCGCTTCTTCCCCTGTTGGTGCCTGCAATTTGTGTTGCGTAGTTGACAGTGTGTCGGCAGCTCTCCCTGCCGCACGATTCCACGGTACATACCCCACCCTCGGGGTCATCGTGAACTTAACGGTGTCATGATATCTAACACTTTTCCCAGCACGCGTGCGAATTGCAGCAGCGGGTATAATACATTCAGATTCACGAGGGAATGGAGGAGGAGGAGGAGGAGGAGGAGGCGGAGGAGGAGGAGGAGGAGGAGGAGGAGGAGGAGGAGGAGGAGGAGGAGGAGCGGGAGGAAGAGGAGGAGGAGGCGGTAGCGGAGGCGGAGGTGGAGGCGGAGGCGGAGGCTTAGGCGGAGGCGGAGGCGAAGGCGGAGGCGGAGGAGGAGGAGGAGGCGGAGGAGGAGGCGGCGGCGGCGGCGAAGGCGGAGGCGGAGGCGGAGGCGGAGGCGGTGGCGCAGGAGGAGGCGGAGGCGGTGGCGGAGGCGGGGGCGGGGGCGGAGGCGGAGGCGGAGGCGGAGGAGAAGGAGGAGGAGGAGGACTAGTGGAAACCCAAGAGTCATCAACGATGTTGGAATACACCTTCCCTCCAAGCTCCCTCTTCATAGGCCCCTACAGCGTTTCACTTCCACTGAGGGAACTGCCTCGTTGGAAGACAACCGTTTGAAGACCCTGAAGCATGCCAAACCAATGTTCTCCGGATTCCAACGCCACGGATCAACTTGACTGCGTCTTGACGATTTTGAACCGTGCCAGAATGCCATTCCTGAGACTTCAACACAGCGAATCAACGTAACTGCTGGAATCTTTCCCAAAACACATTTTTTGGTACGCTGATCATGGGAATCCGTCAAGCTCTTGCTCGTTGCAAAAAGAACGCATGTGCGCGGCGCGATGGCGAGAGCCACATTTTGAAAAGGAGCCGCCCTCAATCCGTGAAGCTCTTGCAACTTGTTTTAAACGAATGTGCGCGGCGCGATGGCGAGAGCCACATTTTGAAAACCACCCGCCCTCAATCCGTGAAGCTTTCTAGTAAATTTTCATTTTCAAGCGAATGTGCTCGGTGCCAAGGCGAGAGCCACATTTAAAAGACCACCCGCCCTCAATCCGTGAAGCTCTTGCAAATTTAGAACGAATGTACGCGGCGCTACGTAAGACGAGAGCCACATTTTGAAAACCACCCGCCTTCTATATCTGTGAAACTGTTGCCAGTTTGAAAGTTTCATGGCCATAAGTGGTGAGGAAGTCTCAGGCGAAACGCCCGGCCCGCCCTAATCACTGGCCTCGGGGTGCGACAGGAATAAGTTATTTATAAGGAAGAGGAATGGCGGAGGCGGAGGAGGAGGAGGAAGAGGAGGAGGAGGAGGCGGAGGAGGAGGAGGGAGGAGGAGGAAGAGGAGGAGGGGGACGGTAAAGGGCCCCGCGCGCTGCCTCATTGAGGATCTGGACGTCTCCCTGCAGCAGCTCCGGCGCCGGCTGCAGTGGGAGAAGGATCCAGGGAACCAAGCGCCGCCGTGATACCAATATTCGCCGCACCCCTGGGGGACGGGGAGGTGGACCCAGGATGAGCAGGATACGGATGCGGATGAGAATGATGAGGATGAAGAGGGGTAGGCGGAGGATGAGGATGAGGAGGAGGAGGAGGAGGAGGAGCAGGACGAGGAGGATGATGATGATGAGGAGGAGGAGGAGAAGGAGGAGGAGGAGGAGGAGGAGGAGGGGAAGGATGAGGAGAAGGAGAAGGAAGAGGAGATAAGGACAGCGAGGGAGGGAGGTAGCGAGGGCGGGATTTGAGGGGGGAAGACGAGAGTCGATTTTTGAATCTGCCCAATCTCGGCGCGGTCGCACGACGGAGCTGACCGAATCGGAACAGTTCCTGCTGCCGAAGGCCTTGCAGACGGACGCGCGTGGCGGAGAAGCTCTGCGCTGCCAGCGGCCCCGCCGCGAATGACCACACCAGTGCCAGCAGCCTTCTAGGCCAGCTGTGCACCTCCAGCCGCATCGGGCGCAAGTCGGCCGCACGCTGTGGTATGGTCGTTGCTGCAGGGCATGCCGTGCAGTGGGCTATTGTCTGGCGACGAAGCCTGTGCATATCCACTGCTCCCTGGCCAGGCCCATCCTGAACCCAGGAGCCGTGTGTACGCCCTCCTGGCCAAGCCACGAGAGCGTGGTGTACCCGAGAGGCGCCTGGTGCGCGGCCTGCTGGCTGTTCGGGCGGGCACAGCCCGCGCCGCGAGGGAAGCGGGCCCTGAGGGAAACGGCTCGTGAGGTTTCTCGCCGTTTTCGGACTCCTGGGGCCCTGCATGGGCTCCAAGAGTGTCAGAAAACCACCCAGGATGAAAAGCTCGTCCTGGGGAAGTCCCCAGGGTCCAGGACCCTTTTCCCTTAGGACCCATTTCCCCCATGCGAAGTCCCCATGCGCGCGGGCCGGCATTGGTCCTGTCGCGTGCAGCGATGGGCAAGCCGCGCACCAGAGGTCACTCTTGCCTCGGGTCAATGGCGTGGCATCTGACCGCGCGTGCCGCAGCGCCCGTCAGCGCCGCCTGCCGCGCTCTGGCTGGCCCCCGAGAGCACGCTGCGAGTCGGGCATCCCCAGGCATCCCCAGACCTCTTGCGCCTCGAACAAGAATGGCCCAGGGCAGGCTCGTGTCGTGTCGGCGCGGCGACCACCCCAGCGCGGGCGTTCAAGGCCGAACGCCGCCAGTGGCCCCGCCTCGGCCGGTATCGACCGGTCGGCGCGATCGGAAAGCCGCGATCGCTCGACGTCGAACGATCCGCGCGTTGTCCGAACGGCACGAGCCTGCCGTCGGCGGGAGGCCAGGGCCTCTTGGCTCCTCGAGGGCCGTGCGGGCCCGAGGCCCGGGCCGAGCCCTGCAGCATGCCCCGGGGAGCGGCCGCCCGCTGGCGTGCCCTGCGGTTGACCGAGCCTCGAGCCTCGAGCCTCGAGCCTCGAACGCCCAGAGGCCTCGATCCTCGAGCCTCGAGCCTCGAGCCTCGAACGCCCAGAGGCCTCGATCCGCGGCGCCGCCTGCGGCAGCGGCGCAGGCTCCGTCGAGCCTGGCCCCGGCCGCGCCCCCTCCCCCTGCCGCCGCGAGCCTAGCAGGCCAGGGCTGTCGCCCTGAAGGACACGGGCCCTGAGGGAAGCGGGTCCTGGATCCGGGGGCCTTCCCTCAGGACCAGCTGCTCACCCTGAGTCGTCGTCATCATCATCATCAGCATCATCAGCATCATCAGCATCAGCATCATCATCATCATCATCATCATCATCATCATCATCATCATCATCATCATCATCCGCATCATCAGCATCATCAGCATCACCACCATCAGCAGCAGCATAGTCATCATCATCATCGTCGTCGTCGTCGTTGTCGTCGTCGTTATCATTATCAGCATCACCACCACCACCACCACCATCATCATCATCATCATCATCATCATCATGTTCATCAGCATCAGCATCAGCATCAGCATCACCATCATCATCAGCATCAGCATCAGCATCAGCATCATATCACCACCAACACCACCATCATTATCATCGTCACCATCACAGCCATCAGCATCTCCACCATCATCATAATCATCGTCACCATCATCGTCAGCATCATCATCATCATCACCTTACCATCGTCTTACCATCATCTTTCCATCATCATCCTTATCATCATTTTTATCATCAGTATTATTTGTCATTTATATTATTGTTATTAGTATTGTTATTGTTATTGTTATACTTACTGCTGTTATTATTATTACTACTTGTATTCGTATTATCATTATTATTCGTATTAGTATGTATGTATGTATGTATGTATGTATGTATGTATGTATGTATGTATGCATGTCTTTTTGTGATTTCTATCATTATCAGTATTAGTACTACTGTTCTTAGTATGATAATTTGTTTCATCATGATTATTATTATTAGTAATATCATAATATATATATTTTTTATGAGTATCATTATTATTATTATTATTTATTATTATTAGTATTTTTATTTTTTATTTCATTATATTAGTATTATTGTTATCATCATCATTATTATGATCATTCTTATCATTATTATCATTGTTAACATTATCATTATTATTAGCATCATTATTCTCATCATCAGCACCGGCATCATGATGATGATGATCATCATCATCATCATCATCATCATCATCATCATCATCGCCTCTTTGGCTCTGGCGCGTGCTGGGGTGGCGGGCCATCCCCTGCACGTTCTGGGGCCTCCTCGCCCCCTCCCCCCTCGCGCGGCAGCGGGCAATGGTAGTGGCGGCTCGGCTGGATTGGATTCTTGCCCAGCTCCGTTGTGGGGGGCAAGCGAGAGTGAGGCTTGCGTCTCATCCTGATCGTTTGCTTGTCCAAGTCGTTCTTCTTCCTGCAGTAGGCCTGGGGATGAGGAATCGGATGTTGATTGACTTGTACACGATTTTGCTGGGACCTCTTCCTGAGCACGTGGCAGTGGATTTTGGCCACATGAGCAGCAAGGGCGAAGCCCATGTATCGATTCGTCTTCGTGCTGCTCCTGTAGATGGTCGCCCCCCGGGGCGCTGGGGATCCTCCTGGCCCTGGTGGTGGACCCCCCTCTGGCGGTGCACATGGGCGTCCTGACCCTGATGTGGGCGACGGCGGAGACCTCCGAGGAGGCGCTGGTCGTTGTCTGGGCGATAGTTGTGGTGCCCGTGGTCACCATGGGGGCACGTTGGAGAAGGAGCCGCGGGTGCAGGCGCTCGGCGAGGGTGCTGCATCCGCTGCCCTTCCTGACATGCCTCGGCTCCCCCGAGTTCCCACGGACTGCGGATGCGCCCGTATTTATTTTTTCCTGGTGGCCATGGCGCTGCCGAAGTTCTTCCGCGAGGATTTGGTGCTGGTGCTGGCCTTGGTTTCGCGCCCATGGATCCGGAGGAACGGCGCCATAGTGCTTTGATTGATGATCTGATTTGCGGACATGGTGAGAACGAGTCTGATCATCGTGCTGGCCCTGATCTTCACATGGCCCCCGATCTTCTTTTCCCCGCAAGCGCGTGCGGGGATAGCGACGACGTGGTGACGAACATTCTGTCGCAGGAGCCTGGCGGGGTGCACGGTGGTCGCGATGTTCTCCAGGCGCCTGCGGCCGCTGATGAGCCCGGCGGAGGGCTTCGTGGGGGCGGACTTCCTGCAGCGCCGTGCGGACTTTCAGTGGTTTGGCTATGCGCGGTCTTCGTGATGCTGTCCACGCTGTGGTTCCAGGTGCCGCGCCGCGCGGCGTGGGTCCTGGTGCGTTTCCCTATACTGGCGTCGGTGGGTCTCCGGTGCTGATCAAACAGGTTCATCTACTGGCGTTGGTGGGGCCTCTGATTTAGGGGAACAAAAAGTGACATAAACGTTAAAACTCGGAGGTCCGCGCGGATTTCTCGGATCGGCGCGGCTGATGATGATGATGATGATGATGATGATGATGATGATGATGATGATGATGATGATGATGTGATGACGATGATGATGACGATGATGATGCTGCTGATGATGATGATGTTGATGATGCTGGGGATGAGGATGAACATGATGTTGATGGTGATGGCGATGATATGATGATGACGAGCATGTGGATGATGTGGATGATGATGATGCTGATGCTGATGATGATAATGATGATGATGATGATGATGATGATGATGATGATGATGATGATGATGATGATGATGATGATGATGATGATGATGATGATGATGGTGGTGGTGATGATGATGATGACGATTACGATGACGATTATTAGTATGATGGTGATGATGATGATTATGGTGATGGTGATGGTGATGGTGATGGTGATGATGATGATGCTGATGATGATGAGGAGGAGGAGGAGGAGGGGCAGGTGGAGGTTGAGGAGGAGAAGGAGGAGGAAAAGGAGGAGGAGGAAGAGGACCACTGTAAACCCAATATGCATCAACGATGTTGGAGTAAACCCTCCCTCCAAGCTCCCTCGCCATAGGCCCCTACAACGGTGCATTTCCATTGAAGGAACTGCTTCGTTTGAGGACAGCCGCTTCAAGACCCTGAAGCATGCCAAAACATTATTCTCGGGATTCCAACGCCACGGATCAACCTGACTGTTGCGACCTAACGATCCTGAATCGTGCCAGAGCGCCATTCCTAGGACTTCAACCCCGCGAATCAACGTAACTGTTGCACCCTCATAGTCCTGAATCCTTCCAAAATACCATTTGTGGTACGCTGATCATTGGAATCCATGACACTCTTGCAGATGTTAAAAAAGAATGTGCGCGTCGCAAGGCGAGAGCAACATTTTGAAAAGAAACCGCCCTCAATCCGTGAAGCTTTTGCAATCTTTTACAAGGGAAGTGCGCAGCGCTAAGGCGAGAGCCACATTTTGGAAACGACCCGCCCTCAATCCGTGAAGCTCTTGCAATGTTTAGAACGAATGTGCGCGGCGCTAAGGCGAGAGCCACATTTTGAAAAGACACCGCCCTCAATTCGTGAAACTCTTGCAAATATTGAAGACGAATGTGCGCGGCGTTCAGGCGAGAGCCACATTTTGAAAACGACCCGCCCTCAATCCGTGAAACTCGTGCAAGTGTTTAAAACGGATGTGCGCGACAGGCGAGAGCCACATTTTGAAAACGGCCTCCGCCGGTGAAACTGTTGTCACTTTTGAAGCTTCAGGGTCGTAGGTGAGGAAGTCTCAGGCGAAACGCCCGGCACGCCCCAACACGTGGCCTCGGGGTGCGACAGGGGGAAGTCGTTTGTAAGGAAAACGAGTGGAGGATCATGCGGAGGAGGAGGAGCTGGAGCCTACAGTCCCTGGCGTTTCGGCTGCCCCCGAGGACGAGAATCTGGAGGACCTGGTGGCAGGGGCCGAGCTCGAACTGGCGAGCGGGGGGCCTCGGGTCCAGGGCTCGGCGCTGGCCAGAAGCAGTGCTCCGCCTCCTCCTCCTCCTCCTCCTCCTCTTCCTCTTCTTCTTCTTCTTCCTCCTCCTCCTCCTCCTCCTCCCCTTCCTCCTCCTCCTCCTCCTCCTCCTTCTCCTCAAGCGGCCGCAGACCCAACGAGTTTTTTTCGTCGCCTTTGGCTTTTCGCCGTTTCTGGCCGCTGGGGGCCGTCTTCGGGTCCTGGGACCGTCAGGCTTTTTCCTTTTGCCTTCGTGCCTCAATTCGCCTCCTGTTCATCCCACCGCTTGCTGACCGGCGTTTGACTGTCTTGCACCACTTGGCGCTCGCGGTATTCAGAGTCAGCCCTTTTTTTCTGAACCTTCCCAGGAGACACAGAACACTTTAGAAGGCCGGAGGACTTTTCTGAAGCGAGAGGTGGATGGGGATGTCTGCCCGCCCGACTTGGCAGGCAGGTGTCCCTGTCCACAGAGCTCCCCTGGCATGGCCCCGGGGCACGGGACGTGGACACGCTCGGGCGGCGCACCTCCCGCGCCAGTCACAACGATGATGCCCTGTCGTGCGCTGTGGTTCCGTCGTGGGCCCTGGGGCTCGCTCGCCAGCCAGCTCTCGGCGGCCACGGTCGGACATTGGAACATCTGCGTTAGCAGCGGCGGGCTGCTCTTCGATCCCGGGGCTTTTCTTCGAGGGTCGGGCACGACGTCGGGGCGGTGTGGTGTATACCCTGGGCAGAGGATCCCGTCTACACGGGGAGGCGGAGGAGGAGGAGGGAGGAGGGAGGAGGGAGGAGGGAGGAGGGAGGAGACAGGAGACAGGAGGGAGGAGGGAGGAGGGAGGTCCCACTTTCCTGTGCGAGTCTCAGAAAAGGCGTCAGTTTATTAGAGGTCGGCTCCCTGCGCGGGGCGCCCTCCGCCGGCCGCCTCCCGCCGGCCGCGGCCGCGCGTGGCCTCTCCGCCTCGCCGCGCCGCCAAGGGGGGCGAGGCCTCGCCTCGCCCTCCTTTGCCTCGCCGCGTGCTCCCCTGCACGGCCTGCCCTCCCCGGCGCGGCTGGCCCCGCGCGGCTTGCCCTGCCCTCCCCTCTGCGGCGCGGCCCTCGCCCCGCGGCTGCCTGGGCCCTGCGTTCCACGGCGGCCGGAGCGGGCACCGTCGGGATCGCGGTGCCTGCTTCCTCCTCGCCCCTCCTCCCTCCCTCCTTCCTCCTCTCCTCCCCTCTTCTCTTCCTCCTCTCCCTTCTTCCCGATGCGTCCTCCCCCTCCTCTTCCTCCTCCTCCTGATGCGTCTTGGGTTTACACTGGTCCTCCACCACCTCCTCCTCCGCCTCCTCTTCCTTCCCTCCTCGTTCCTTCCTCCCTCTTCTCTTCCCCCCCCTCTTGATGAGGAAAGAGTTCGTTCGAGAGAGCTGGAAAGGCAGGGGGCAGGGAGAGGGGTTAGGAGGGAGGAGGGAAGAGGAGAGGAGGAAGTACGAGGGAGGTGGGCGAAGGGAGGAGGATGAGGAGGAGGACCAGTGTAAACCCACGACGCATCAGCGATGTTGCAATGCACCCGCCCTTCAAGCTCCCTCTTCATAGGTCTCTACAACAGCTTATTTTCAGTGCGGGAAGTGCCCCATCGGAAGACAACCGTTTGAAAATCCCCACTCGTGCCAAAATGCAGTTCCTGGGACTTCAACGCCGCGAATCAATACGATTGCTGCGTCCTGTCAATTCTAAAGCTTGCCAGAACACCATGGCTTGAACGTCAGCGCCGCGAATCAACCTGACTGTTGCGTCCGCACAATCCTGAATCGCGTCAGAATGCTACTCTTGGGACCGCAGCTATACGAACCCTTGAAACTGGTACAGACAGTTAAGACGAATGCGTGCGGCGCGAAGGCGAGAGCCACATGTCGAAAAGGAACCGCCCTCCATCCTTGAAGCTGTTGCAAACTTCTCAGACAGGAGGCGAGAGCCACATTTTGAAAACGGGCCGCACTCCATCCCTGAAGCTGTGCCACATTTGTAAGACGAGTGTGCTCGGCGCTACGGCGAGAGCCGCATTTTGAAGACGGCCCGCCTTCCATTGAGGCTGTGTCAAACATGTGAGACTATGTGCGCGGCGCTCAGGCGAGAGCCACATTTTGAGAACGGGCCACCCTCCGAATTTCAAGCTCCAGGATCGTAGATAGCGAGGAAGTCTCGGGCGAAACGCCTGGCCCGTCCTATCGACACGTTTGAGGGTGCGACAGGGAGGAGTCATTTGTCCAGCAGCCTGCGGCAAGTCCCGCCACCGTGCCAACCCAGCATTCTGGGTGGCGACTTTTCGAGGATGCACGTGAGGCCGTCACGTGTGATACCTCGTGTCTCCAGGCTTGGGAGAGCCGTGATGAGCATGATGAGGATTATGAGGATGATGGGGGTAACGACGATGATAGTGATGACGATGACGATGATGATGATGATGATGATGATGATGATGATGATGATGATGATGATGATGATGACGACTATGCTGAACTCGACGACGACGATGATGATGCTGATGACGTTTATGATGCTGTTGATGATGATGATGCTGCTAATGATGATGACGATGCTGACGCTGATGATCATGATGATACTGATGATGATGACGACGCTGACGTTGATGCTGATGATGATGATGATGCTGATGCTGATTCTGATGCTGATACTGGTGCTGCTGCTGATGATGCTGATGATAATGATGATGCTGGCGACGATGTCGGCTACGATGACGATGACAATGACGATATCGTTGCTGCTGCTGATGATGATCAGGATGATTATGATGATGATGGTGACGAATGTGGTAGTTGTGGTGGTGATGATGATGATGCTGCTGATGATGATGACGGCGACGACGACGACGATGACGATGACGGTGATTATGGTGATGCTGATGCCGATTCTGATGCTGCTGATGGTGGTGCTGATGCTGATGCTGATGCTGATGCTGATGGTGATGATGATGATGATGATGATGATGATGATGATGATGATGATGATGATGATGATGATTATGAGAATGATGGTTGCGATGCCGACGACGACGAGGATTACGATGACGATGACGATAACGATGCTGATGATGCTGACGGTGATGTTGATGATGCTGATGATGCTGATGCAGGTTCATCTGCTTCTGCTGATGATGATGATGCTGGTGCTGATGATGGTGATGACGACGATGACGATGACGGTGACGATGACGATGATGATGATGATGATGATGATGATGATGATGATGATGATGATGATGATGATGCTGATACTGATAGTGAATCGGAGGAGGATGAGGATGAGGATGAGGAGGATGATGCAGATGATGATGATGATGATGATGATGATGATGAGGAGGATGATCATCATCATGATGATGCTGATGATGATGATGCTGATGATGATGCTGATGCGGATGCTGATGCTGATGCTGATGATGTTGATGCTGACGATGATGATGCTGATGATGATGATGCTTATTCTTATTTTCGTTGTTATTACTATGATGATGATGACGATGATGATGCTGCTGATGATGATGATGCTGATGATGATGCTGATGATGATGCTGATGCTGCTGCTGCTGCTGATGCTGCTGCTGCTGCTGCTGATGATGATGATGATGATGATGATGATGATGATGATGATGACTATGATGACGATGACGATGACGGTGATGATGACGATGGAACTCGTTTAGGCCGTTTTGGGGCTCTCTTGGCCTTCTGTGAGGCAGTCTTGGTGGTCTCTTGCGGCTCTGTTGTGCCGTCTTGGGGCCCTCTTAGGCCGGCTGGAGGTTCCCTTGTGCCGTCTTGGGGCCCTCTTGGCCGTATGGTGGGTATCTGGGGGCCGTCGTGGGGCCGTCTTGGCGCCGTCTTTGGGCGTCGAAGTGCTTTCTACGTCCGTCTTGGGTCCCACGGGAGGCGCTCTTCGGCCGTCTTTGGGCCGTCTTGGATGCCTCTTGGGCCCTCGCGGAGTTCTCTTGGGCCTTCTTGAGCCGACGGCAATCCGAAAAGGCGAGAACGCGAAAATCATGCAAAAACCCACGGGACGGCAATGATGTTCACCCTGTTTGAGGTCCTCTGGTGGCCATTCTGGGCCCCTTTAGAGTCATCTTTGGCCGTCTTGAATAAATATTCGGCCACCTTGGGGCGATCTTGGGCCGTCTTCGAGGCATCTTGGGCCATCTTGGTGTCCTTGGTTGCCTGCGTGGGTCGTCTTGTAAGCTCGGGACGCGCATCCTTTTTTTTCATGAGGGATCGTGGCTTGGGAGGCCCTGGAGCGCTTGGAGCAGCGCCTGGGGATTCAGGAGGTCTACGATCCTCGAGCGGGTGCGCATGGGATGAGGGGTCTAGGAGTTAGCAGCCATGCGGGAAGTGCACAAATCCTCGAGCGGGCGCGCATGGAATGAGGGTTCAGGCATGGGAAGTGCACAAATCCTTGAGCGGGCACGCGTGGAAGGGGCGTTCGGGCTCCAGCTGTTACGCTGGAAGTGCACCGTCCCTGTGCGGGCACGCGTGGACTAGGGGTTTAGGCATCAGGGGAGGTGGCTTCGGTGAGCAGGGGGGATGCACGCGGCAGCCTGCGGGTAGACGGAGGGGCCGTTCCCCATTATGATCCAAAAAGCCTACCAGACAGACCTTGGCATCCTTCCACGCGTCAACGTGCCAGCGGGCATGGTGGCGGATATGGAAACGGATGGAGGAGCAGGAGGGAGGAGGGGGAGGAGGAGGAGGGGTTTCTCTTCGGTCTCATTTTGAGCCATGCTCTGCTACAGGCTGTCGTAGGCTGTCTTGAGCCATGCTTCTCTATCTTGGGCCATCTTGGTGCTGTCTTGATGCCTCTTGGAGGTCTTTCGGAGTCTATCTTGAGCCATGCTCGATCTGGGACCATATTGGGGGTAGGAGGAGGAGGAGGAGGGGGAGGAGGAGGAGGAGGAGGAGGAGGAGGAGGAGGAGCAGGATGATGAGGAGGAGGAGGGGGAGGAGGAGGGGAAGGAGGAGGAGGAGGAGGAGGGGGAGGGGGAGGAGGAGGAGGAGGATCAGTTCTTGTACCCGCAAGGCGACGCTGGAGGAGAGCTACCCCCAGGGCTGGCACGGCGTGGACCGCTATGGCAGGCCGGTGAAGATCGAGAGGCCCTTCCGTCTCCTCCGCGCACCGGCCGTCTCGTTTCCTCCTCGTAGGCGGTCGACGTTTTCATCCATGCACGCCGGTCGTTGGAAGTAGGTATTTTTGGAGTCCCACATCTTGCCCACGCGCTCCTGCCCACGCGCTCCGGCGTATGGCATTTCGTTCGTTCGTTCGTACATCCCAATCTACTTCAAGCGCCCTCCTTCAAGAATCAGCTTGCCGTGGCTGTGTTCGGTTACTCTCTGGGAGGGCCTCGTTGCCTCCTCGTAGGCGGTCGACGTTTTATCCGTACACGCCGGTCGGAAGAAGTGGGTAGAAACATGAAGTAGGAAGGCGTTGGAAGTAGATCGGACTTCGGCCCGCCCCCTGAAGAGGAGGAGAGAGGAAAAAACCGCTCGACTCTTGAAGCAGGAAGGCGCCTGAAGTAGATCATAAGACGTGGGCATCCCAAAATACCTACTTTCAACGACCGGCGTGCACACCTGCTCGCGCCAGAATTCCACGACGGGGCGGAGTGGGGGATCGGTGTCAGGAGAGGACAAAACACACAGACACAATTAATCCTCGATTCCCTTGAAAATATGGGAAAATATGGGAAGTGGGGGTGAAGACAGAAACCCAGAAAATATGGGAAGATATTGGGAATCTTTTTACTTGTGTGCATTCATTTGTGTGTCCTGGGGCCCCTTCAAGATGATCCATCCCATGCACTTCAAGCTGTGTGCCCATGCCCTGCCCCCCCCCTGCCAGCCACGGGTTGCGGTCTGCGGCAGGGGTGCGGATGCAGCGTCGGCCCCCGACCTCCATGGTGCGTGCGGCTGCAATGGCCGGGAGCTCGAGGGGGAGGAACGGTGGGGGGGAATGAGGGGGGGAGGGGGCGGGGCTCGGGCACGGGAAGTTTTGTTGTTGCTGTTGCTGTTGCTGTTGCTGTTGCTGTTGCTGTTGCTGTTGCGGTTGCTGTTGCGGTTGCGGTTGCTGTTGCTGTTGTTGTTGTTGTTGTTGTTGTTGTTGTTGTTGTTGTTGTTGTTGTTGTTGTTGTTTTTCTCACAAGATTAGCAAGTCTGTGAAGATTTCCAGGCTCGCCTCAACCCGCCTATCCCTTTCCTCTTTGCTCTCCCTCTGCCCCTCTCCCGTGCTCCCGCAACCACTGTTGGCCCAAGCCTGGGGCCCCAGGTTTCAGCTGTGCCGGGCTGCCTGCGCCCGGATCGGCGCCAACCTGTGGCGTTTTCTCGGCAGGAGAAAAAGGAGCTGCGCCCAGCCTGATAGCAGAAAGAGAGCAGATCAGGTTTCAAACTGGTAGCGGAGCAGGTTTTCGATCTACGGCGGAGAGAATGGCCCGCATGACAGACGAGTCCGCAGAGGAGCTCTTTGTCGACAAAGAGGGCATCCAGCACTGGGACGGTGAGAACATAGCTCTTCTACGAGAATATCGAATGAGAGTGATGATTGAGTACAGCACGCAGTCGAGCACGACGGAGGCCGGCAAGGAGAAGCGGGCGAACCTGGGCTTGCGCCTGACGCGAGGCCTCACTGGCCGGGCGTGGAAGGCGGTGGAGCCTCTCCTGGACGACACGGCAGCGCTCACCCAGGACGGCTCGCACCAGAGGATCATCGAAGCTCTCGATGGCCTGGACAAAGTGGCAGTGGTGCGCAAGCAGCAGAAGTTCGACGACTTCTTCAAGCGGTCTCGCCGCAGACGCGGCCAAGAGATCGTGGAGTCAAGGAGCTGACCGAGCTCTACACGGGGGCGAAGCTCAGCGACGATCTCTACGCGCACTTCCTCCTCGAGGGGGCCATGCTGACGGACGACCAGAAGCGGCTGGTCACGATGGTGCCGGACAATAAGTACGAGACGAAGGCTTTCGAGAACGCGCTGAAGACGAACTACCACGACCTCCACCTGCAGGAGAAGACCTCCCGGCCGCCACCGCCTCACCCTCACGGGCGCCCGAAGGGCGGAGGCAAGGGCGGCGAGGACAAGTCCAAGAGGCAACCGAGGGTGCACTACACCGAGGCGGACGACGTGGACGACGAGGAGGAGGAGCAGGACGAGGACTACGACGACGAGGTCTACGAGGCCTACGAGGATGGCGATGCCGAGGAGGACTTCTCCAGCGACGCTGGTGCGAGTCATGGCGAGGCGATCAACAACGCGTGCGCCGCCTACGACACCGCCCGGGCCAAGGCCCGGGACCTCCAGAGGAAGCGCGGCTTCTTCAAGGCGGAGGGCACGCTGACATTCGAGGAGCGGAAGGCGGATATCGCAAAGGACAAGCAGCGCACGCACTGCGGGGCGTGCGGCAAGCTCGGCCACTGGGCGGGGGACCCGGAGTGCCCCATGGGCCCGAAGAGGCCGAAGCCGTCAGCGAAGCCGAAGAATCGAGCAGACCCACGCGGGCGAGCAGCGGCGCTTTCGCGCCCGGCCTGGAGCAGCCCTTCGGCTTCGGGCAGCAGCCCACGCCCAACGAGCAGTACCAGTGCCAAGAAGCGGAGGGATGCGACCCTCTTCGTGCTGGACGACGTTGAGTACGACTCGGCCTTCCTTGTCAGCTCGGACCGTGGCTCCGACCTCGGCTCCTTCAAGCTCGTGGGCAGCGACGTCGGCGACAGCGCGAGTGTGGTCAGCGACAGCCTCAGCACGATCCCCCCGACGATGAAGGACGACGAGGTGCTGCCGTGCCCGAAGTGCTCCAAGGCTCTGGTGGCCCGCCAGAATCATCGCACGGGCGGCTGGTTCTTCGGATGCAGTCATTTCCCGGACTGCAAGGGCACGCTGAACTACAACGAGGGCGAGCAGCGGCTGCGCGAGGCGCGGCCGCCGCCGTCTTCGGCCTGAGCACGCTCCACGCCGGGGCCCAGAGGGGCCCCTCGCGGGCGCCATGCGCGCCCAGTGCCCGGGGAAGGATCTTTGGAGATGGTGCTTGTGGTGAGTGAAGACAGTGACTCGTCTGATGTACCAGTGGCGCTCATCGACACCGGTTGCGCAAGATGTATGCACGGCAAGCGCTGGCGGGAGTTGTTCGAGAAGAGGTGCTTGCATCCCCGCGGCCTGGAGATCAAGATGACGGACCGCCTGAGGAGCTTCTCCTCGGCCTTTGGCAAGAGGCAGGAGGGGCGCGTGGTCGAGATCCCGGTCGCCCTCGGCGGCCGCCGCGGGGTGATCTTCAGCGCGGAGATGGAGGACTGCGACACCCCGCTCCTGGTCAGCCTGGCGTCGCAGGAGGCGCTGGGTGCCGTGCTCCACCTGAAGGAAATGCGGATGGAGCTGCAGGCGCTCGCCGTGGACGTGCAGCTGCTCAAGGTGGGCGGTCACTTGGCAGTGCGACTTGATGACTGGGGTGATGATGGTCACCGATCGGCAGTAGCTTCGAGTTCGGGACCAGCGACGGCGATCTCGGAGAACCGGGACTCGGAGTTCTTCTTCGCGCAGGCGCAGAAGGAGTCGGCCTTCGAGGAGTCCGGCGGCGAGGAGATCCGAGTCGAGGAGGAGGTTGGCCACGCCTTCCTGTCGAAGGATCGCGGTGTGCTGGCCACCGACGCGACAGGGATCCTCTCCAAGACGACTCGGAAGAAGCTCGAGTCCACCTGGCGAGCTTCGCGGAGAGGATCGACGCCTACGAGGAGAGCTACTTCGACCGAGGTTCGAGGCGGAGCGTTTCGTGACCGCCGACTTCCAGACTACGGTGGTGTTCGAGCCGTTCGGTGGAGAGCGCATCCTGACGCGCTACGGTGCAAAGGAGTACGGTAAGATGCAGTCTCAACCGCTGGACGTGGACCACTCCCCCGACTACGACTTGCTCAAGGGCCCTGGACGGGCCTTACTCTACCGGATCCTCGACCTGCACTGGCCTTACATCACAGTGTTGGCTTTTCCCTGTCATCCGTGGTCCCTGATGACCAACATGAACAAGCTCATCGACTGGGATGAAGTCCGCAGGAGTGCTCGCCGTTATCTTTTGCTTGTTCGGCGGGTATCTCGATGTGTGCATGCGAGAGGACGGTATTTCTTGATAGAGCAGCCTTTGACAGCACTTTCTTGGGAGTATGATGGCATCCTGATGCGTTTGTGGGATTTGGAAGGTGTTGTGTTTGTGCGCGGAGATCAACGTGCCTACGGAGCCTGCGACAAGGACACGGGCAAGCCGATCAAGAAGCCGACGGGGTGGCTCACGAACAGCGCAGCGGTGGCGAACCACCTGAGCAAGCGCTGTACCTGCCCGCCCGGCGCCCGCCAGCAGCTGCTCGGAAAGAACTCGGGTGGCTATCGGGCGCAGCAGGCGGCAGCCTACCCCGTGGGCCTCGCGAAGGCCTTCTGTCGCGGCGTGCTCCAGCAGATGAAGATCGACTGCCGCAGCTCGCTGGTCATGGATGCGGCCTTCCCGGTGGGGGATGCTTTCCCTCGCGAGCGTCCGCGATCGCGGAGCCCGCCGCGGGGAGAGCCTGTGCCAGAGGAGGTGCACCAGGAGGGCCCGCCTCCCGGAGGGGACGCGCCGCCTGCCGAGGCGGCGGCGGAGGCCCCGGAGGCACCGTCCGAGGTGCCCTCGGGGCCCAGGCGCGGCCGAGCGCCTGCTCGCCGCGAGCGCGGCGTGCCTCCAGGCGGACCCCCGCTGGGCTTCTGCCGGGGACGGCGTGCGCAGCACGGCGAATTCGAGCTGTTGGCGGTAGAGCTGTATGCTGAGCTGGACGCGCCCCGGTGTTGGCACAGGAGGTTGCTGGAGAAGATGGGCGATGATATCGAGACGATCATGTGGGGCTCGGACCTCTTCCTGGGGGAGCTGGGAGGAGTCATCAGCGAGCCGCTGAAGATGGTGAAGGCTAGACGCGGGGGATCAGCGGCTCCAGACGATGCAGCCGCAGCTGCACGCCGCGGACGCCCCGCTCAGGATGGTCACTGCGCTCAAGGGCGACCAGCTCTTCAGGCTAGACTTCGAGGACTGGTCGCAGCAGTCCCTGCAGGCGCGGCGGCGCTGGTTGCCGCGACATCTACTCGAGAACGACGTGGTGGTCTTCTACTTCGCGGGCTACGAGCGGGGCGACCTGCCCGAGGGGCTGGCTGCCGCACAGCAGCGGGGCGCCTCGCGGGAGAGGAGGCGACGTTGGGAGCTGTTGCCGAGGGCCGTCAAGAGGGCGATCGAGGGGGTGCACGCGAGCCTCGGGCACCCCTCGCGACCAGCGCTGCTCAGGGCGCTGCGCCTGGGCAAGGCGACGGCGCTGGCGCTGAAGGCAGCGAGGCTGTTTGTCTGCGAGAGCTGCCGGCGAGTGCAGCGACCCAGCATCCCGCGTCCGAGTCAGCTCCCGAGGGTCGACGAGTTTAACGTGCTGCTCGCGATGGACTGCTTCGAGAAGGTCGACAGCGCCAGCAACAACTGGGAGTTCCTTGGCATCATGTGTATGAGGACGAACTTCCACGTGGTCTGCCTGCTGGAGGACACTCACAAGAACACCAAGGCCTCGGAGGTCAGGAAGTTCTACGAGCTCTGCTGGGTCTCCTGGGCCGGCCAGCCGGAGGAGGCGATCATGGTGGACCGCGCGCGGTCCTTCCTGGGCGAGTTCGCGGACTACCTGGAGCAGGATGGCGTGCGCCTGGGCTCGGCCGCTCTGGCTTCGCCGTGGCACATCGGCAAGATGGAGCGTCACGACGGCATCTGGAACTCGATGCTCACGAGGGTGGTGCACGACAAGCAGGTGGCGTGCCTTGAGGAGATGAGGACAGCAGTGACGGAGTGCAACAGGGCCAAGAACACGTTGGCCCGGCGGGCTGGCTTCAGTCCCTACCTCTGGGTCCTCGGCCGGGACGTTCGCCTCCCGGCGAGCCTCGCGGACGACGCCGAGGTGGAGCGTGTGGGCGAGCAGGTGGCAGCTGCTACGCCAGGCTCGCGTTTTGCCCGCAAGGTCGAGATCAGGACCCAGTGCAGGATGGCTTTCATCCAGACCGACACGGAGGATCGGCTTCGACGAGTGGAGCTTCGACAAATACGACCGACGAGAGGGCCGTTCGTTGTGGGCCAGTGGGTGCTTTTCTATGACCAGGCGCAGCCAGCCAAGCATCGGCCTGAGCATCCAGACAACTGGCGAGGGCTGGCGCGTGTGATCGGCCATGAGGGACGGCATGAAGTGTGGCTCGCCTCCCGTGGCCTCACCGTGCTCGCGAGTCCGGAGCACCTGGCCGCAGCGACCGGCCACGAGATCCACGCCTGGAGATCGATTGCGCAGGAGCAGGAGTTGGTGCACGACACGCCCGTCAGCGGCGGCAGTGGCTTCGTGGACCTGCGAGGTCGACCCGAGCCCCCCGCCGCGGCGGGGCAGGAGCCCGCCGAGCAGGGCGACGAGAGCGGCATGGACGTCGGGCCGCAGGCGGAGGTGCCAGAGGAGCCGCAGCCCGCCCCGGCTCCGCCTGAGCCGGAGGCGCCTCCGGCCACGCCTGAGCCGGAGGCTCCCCGCGCGGCTCCGGCCGCGCCCGAGCCGCCCGCGGCGCCAGCCCCTGCGGTGGGGGCTGAGGACGTGCCCGTGCCGCCCGACCTGGACTTCGACGCGATGGAGTCCGACGCAGCGATGCAGGAGATCATGGGGGATGACGACGACGGCTGGCACCCCGACACCCACGGGGTGCACACGGAGCCCGAGCCGGGGGCCTCTCGGCATCGGCGCCCTGGGAGCCTCCTGGAGGAAGAGGAGGCGGATGGGGCGTCGCGAGCGGGAGGCTTAGCGGCGGCGCCTGCTAGACGACGTCTCTGTCTCGATCCGACAGGGGACTGCAGGATCCAGCCTCTCGGCGCCCGCCGACTCGGCGACGTTCGTGCTGGGCAACGACCTGGACGAGTTCACGGAGGCCGGGCTTGGAGACGTACCAGCAGGACGAGGCCTTCTTCGTCCAGGAGGGGATCGGCAAGGAGGAGTTCCTCTTTCGGGCTGATGCGGAATGAGTTCGAGCACGCTTTCCTGACGAAGAAGCCTGGGAGAAAGGAGATCAAGCTCGGCAGCTTGCCGGAGGAGCAACGCCGGATGTTCTTGGATCGAGGCGGCAGTCGTGACGCAGAGTGGCGCTCCTGGCAGGACTTCGACGCGGCCGAGCCGATCCCGCCAGATGAGAGCGTGGCGCTTCGCTCGGACAAGGCCAACATCATCATCCCGATGCGCTGGGTGGATACCGACAAGAACGACGGGAAGTACGATGAGGCCGGAGCCCCTCTGCCGCTGCTCGCGAAGAGCCGTCTGGTCGTGGTGGGCTTTCGCGACCGCTTGTTGGGTATGTTCAGGCGGGACGCCCCCGCTGCCTCGCGGCTGGCGGAGGCGCTGCTCCTGACGCTGGCGGCGGCCCTGGGCGACGTCAAGAACGCCTACATCAATGGGCAGAACCTGCAGCGCGAGGTCTACCTGGAGCAGCCCCGAGGGGGCCTACCTGGCCTTGTCCCGGGCCAGCTGCTGAGGGCCCGCAAGGCCATCTACGGCTTCGCGGAGGCAGCGAGGCTATTCTGGCTAGCGCTGCGTGACGCCTTGCTGGCTGACGGTTGGCTTCAGTCGCGCCTGGAGCCGGCGCTCTTCTACAAGCGCGTGGACGGGCAGCTGAAGGACATCGCGGTCTCGCACGTTGACGACGTGCTGGTGGCGAGGATGAAGGTCATGCAGCTGTCGGACCTCTTGCCGAAGGTCCTGGGCACGTTCCAGTGGAGGTGGAGCGAGCTGCCCTTCACCTTCCGCGGCCGAGAGCTTTCGAGTGATCCGAGAGGTTTTGTGGTTAAGATGGTGAACTACGCAACTTCCCTCAAGCCGATCAAGATCCCAGCAGCCCTAAGGAACCAGTTGCAGGAGGACTTGAACGAGGACGAGGCGAAGGAGCTGCTGCGGGTATCTGGTGAGATCGGCTGGCTAGGTCGACAGTGCCGACTCGACCTGGCCTTCCTCTCGGGCGAGCTGCAGAGGGCCCGAGCGGCCCCGTGTGTGGCGGACCTGGTGAAGGCGAACCTGGCGGTGTCCGAGGCCAAGAAGGGCGCTGAGGTCGCGCTGGTCTACCCGGCCAACTTGAGGCTGTCCTGCGCTGTGGTCGACGCGGCCGTGGACGCGGGCCACGCGAACGGCCCAGAGCACGACGACATCGAGCGCTACAAGAGCTGTGGCGGCCACGTGGTGCTTCTCACGACCGGCAGCATCCTGGCCAGACATCAAGCACCAGTGGCGGTGCTGGACTGGAAGAGTGGCATGACTCAGCGGGTGTGCCGCTCAACCTTGGCGGCAGAGGCCAGTCATCTGGCGGGCGCAGTGGAGGCCGTCGACTGGGCGGCGGTGCTGTTCAGAGAGGCGATGAATGTCTCGGTGGTCTTGCTCAACTGGCAGGGGGAGGTGCAGCGGCTTCCCCGCTTCTGGGCAACAGACGCAAAGTCCGTCTACGACCACCTCGCGAAGGAGGGCTCGACGAAGATCAAGGACAAGAGGATGGCGATCGAGGGTGCCTTGCTCAGGGAGGTGCTGCGCTGCGAGAACACCCACCTCAGGTGGATTGATGGCTCGCAGAACATCGCTGACGTGCTGACGAAACTAGGGGTGGACAAGGTCTACCTGTACAGGGTACTGCGGGAGGCCAAGTGGAGCTTGGTGCAGGACCCGGCGGCGGCGGCGCTCAAGATGAGGAAGAGCATGCAACGTGCTAGCCGCAAGACCGCCATCGATTCGAGGAAGACGGAGAAGAGGCAGAAGGACAAACTCGTGAGAGCTAATGAGATGCGGGACATCGCAGATTGAGGAGCTGGGCGGTTTTCGGCGTCTCCTTTTGAGGGCGTGTGAAGATTTCCAGGCTCGCCTCAACCCGCCTATCCCTTTCCCCTTTGCTCTCCCTCTGCCCCTCTCCCGTGCTCCCGCAACCGCTGTGGGCCCAAGCCTGGGGCCCCAGGTTTCAGCTGTGCCGGGCGGCCCGCGCCCGGATCGGCGCCAACCTGTGGCGCTTTCTCGGCAGGAGAAAAAGGAGCTGCGCCCAGCCTGATAGCAGAAAGAGAGCAGATCAGGTTTCAAAAAGTCATTGTTTTTTCCCCCAAGGTTCCCCGGGCACAGGAAGGAGAGGATGGCAAGGAGCGAACGAACGAACGGGAACGAGCAAACGAGCGAGGGGAGGTCAGAGAGAGTGGGGTTGGAGGGCAGTGCCTGCCCTTCCTCTAGAAAACCAACCTCTGGAACATCTGCTAAATATTGTTCTCACGCTCTAGCCGCAAGAGTTTATGGGCACCTTGGGTGTCGTTGCGGACATGGACACATTCGGGGTGTGATGCGTCTACAGACAATGCGGACGCTGCAGTCGGCGCAGTACAAGGTCGGAGAAAGAGTAGATCCGTCTGCGGCATGATCATGTTCTAGGTCCCACATGGTACTCCAAGGGAGGAGTCAGCGTTCAGCTTGGCAGTCTTCTGGATGGTGCCCTTGATATTTTCTTTCTGGTTCTCCTGGTCCTCGATTGTGGCTCTCAAGTCTGGGTCTTGGGTGTGGTCAGGCCTCAGTTTTTCGGTGGTTTTTGCATTCGAACGCGCTTGCCGCGCTTCCTGGTGACTCTTGACGGGGTCTGGCCTGAGACCTGTGCGCAGCCTCCACCTGCCCTCCCCTTCCTTTCCTCCCCTCCCCCTACATCCTCCTCACCCCCTCCCTCCTGCTCTTCTTCGCCCTCCTCTCCCTCTGTAGCAGTTTTGGCTCAGGATGCTTCGTTGCCCATGCTTCGTTGCCCTGCGCAACCACTGGGGGCCCCTGTTCCGAGGCAGTCTAGGCCTTGCGCCTGAGCCAGTGCTGCCCGGGCTCCTGGCGGCCCATCCCCTGCCCCCTCTCTGTCTACACATTTCCGTCCAGTGCTCTCAGGAGGAGCTTCCATGGCATTGCCGCCCCGCTGTGGGGCGAATGGAAGGCCCGAGCTAGAACATACGGGGGCTGGGACTTTCCGTCCCAAACGTGAAGTTGACATGTATTCGAGTGGGATATCTACCACCGAGTTGACTAGCCCCATTTTTTTCGTCGTTTCTACGAAACCAATTTCGAATCATGTTCGTAAATCCACGAACATTAGACGCATTATTTGTAGATTCGCCGAGCATGCAAGTTCGGGGTAAGTCAGTTCTGTATTCGATATCCTAGTAAATGTATGGCCTTGTTTGGGGCGTTGCTGAGCTGCTCCGTCTGCGCCAGTCGGTGCCCACCATGCTTCGCGGCTCAGGCACGGGCGCTGCCTTGTCCTCGTGCGGCTTGTTTTTGGGGGAGGCGGGGGCTCCCGCGGGCGCTGGGCCCGGGCACGCAACAATTCAGCGAAGGCAGCGTGTGCGTGCGTGTGCGTGTGCGTGTGCGTGTGCGTGTGCGTGTGCGTGTGCGTGTGCGTGCGCGCGCGAGTGTGTGTGTGTGTGTGTGTGTGTTTTGAATAGTACAAATGTATATATAATGATAATATGTATATATACATACACATACGTACATATATATATATATATATATATACACATACATATATGTATATATGAATATATGTATATAGATATGTGTGTATATATATATATATGAGTGACGTGTCCTGCGCTTCGCGCAGCACTTGAAGCCGCCGAACATTTCAGCAGTCACAAAAAGTCACCTTGGGGCGTAAACCCCAAGGAGGCTGGGGCCTCCGGGGAACCCGGGAAGGTCGGGCCCCGGGCCTCGACCGCTGGTGCGAAGTGGCGGGTTGCGTGGTGGTCGCTATCGCCGTCGGCGACGGAGGAGCTGCGACGCGCGGCACTTTGCCACAGCTTTTCGGTTCTACGTCCCCGTGGTTTCTCTCTGTAGCAGTCGTGGACACGGGCGGAGGGGCCCCGAGGGGTCACGGGCGTGTTTTTGCGAATGGTGCGTCGACCCGAAGGATTCCTCATGGTGGTGGAGCGAGCCACGCCGAGCGACTGTCCTGCAGCATCTGTGGCACCGGCGAAATGGAGCAGCGTCCAACGGCCACCGCGAGTTGCAGAACCCGTCTAAGAGCCCGAAATTTCTTGAGGAGTGGAGGAGCCAGACGGATATTATCAAGCAGCAACAGCCCCAGAAGGAACTCGCCGCAATTGATCAGGAGATTCAACGACTGCGTGCCCTCGCGACGGGTGGAACGGCCGATTCGCAGCCTGACCCCACGGCAGAACAAAGCGAGGATCAGTGGGATTGGCGTGTCCACCAGAGCCATGGGTGTTTCGAGAGATGCGCGCCGGGTCCGCGTCAAAGGTGAGAAGCGGGCTGGGCTCGAAGCCCTCCGTCGGAAGGGGTTCGACGAAAAGCCCATTGCGACCAAGTTGCGCCAACCCGTCAACCGTTGCCAAGCAGTCGAGAAGAAGAGAGACCGTCAGATGGCAGTCGTCCGAAGTCTCGAGCAGAAGGCCCAAGGCATCGCTGAGAAAGCGGTTGGGGCCAAGGAGTTGCTCGCAGCCGCGGCGAGCGAGTTGGTCGATGCGGTGGAGCTGCGTGAAGCAGCGGCAAATGAGACGCCTAATCCAATCGGAATGGGGACAGTACCGTGGCTCCGTTCAGTCATCTCAGCGTTTGACCTCTCCGTGGAAGCAAGTAGCAAGTTGCTCGAGGGGTTGGGTGCGTGGCACTCACTCCGTTCGAGCTTGTTGGGGGGTTTCGAGAAGTTGCGTGGGTTGGACAGGGCCGCTACTGGGCGCCGCGCTCGTGGCGATAGCGCTGGTTCAAGCGGCATTCGAGGGCGTGCGCGACCAGGCGGCAGAGACGGATCTGCCCCCGCAGCTGCGCCGCCCCAGCCCAGGCCCGCCGACCGCCGACCAGATCCCAGTCCCAATGGATTCAGATGATTTGCCAGACCCCCAGGAGCGTCTTTCAGATGCGCTTTCGGGGCTGAGCTGCCCGGTGAAGAATCTCAACTACGCGCGGCCGCCAAGGGGCTCATTAACGCGGTCGGGTCACGCATTGCGTCCAAACGGCCCGCGCGACTGCTCGGGCTGCTCCGTCTCATCTTGGGCTGCGCCGATGCTGGGGCGTCGACCGTGCCTGATGGAGTTGCAAAGTTGACCTCTGGACCCCAGCTTTCCGGTGTTGCCCAGCTGCCGAGTGCACATGTGGCCCCATGGCTCAGGATGCGCAGCCGCCGACGTCGACTGCGCGTGCCCATCCCTCATCAGTGGGCGTCGGATGCGCAGGAGTTGAGACGAGACAAACGGCGTCGAAGTCGTCGGCGACCAATTCTGTCGCGGCGAACTCGTCCCCTCAAGGGCCTCGCGTCAAGATGCGTGGCGTGCCGTGGTGCAGTGGCGGGGTGGTTCTGGCGCAGGAACGCCGCAGTGACGTGGAGATGACCCCCCCTGGATGTCCAGCGCAGATGTCGGCGTGAGGGAGTGGTTGGAATCTGGGCGCCGTCGGCGCCGACGGGCCGTTGATGGGGCGGCGGGTGGCGCGGCTGTCCTCGCGCGCAAGCATGTCCTTATGTCTGAACTCCCAGCTGCCTTCGATCCAGTGTTGTGTGCAGGCCGTGCGGTGGCGACAGCGTTTCTTTCTGTTGTATCGGGTTGGTGGCGTCGGTGGTGGTGGCGTGAATTTTCGCAAGTTTGGTGGCCGGGTTCCATTTGGCAGGGGGGGGGGCCTTCAGATTCTGTCAGCTATCACCTCATGCATCGTGGAGCTCAGTGGGGTGAGTCAGTCCTGGTTGACAGGGGCGGGCTGGGGCATTGGCCCAGGCGGCGACGTCGGCGATGTGTTTGTTGGCTCGAGATGGGCCCGCCGCAGTGTCATCGAGCCCGCGTGCGCTCAGTCCACCCCAGGTATACGCAGTGACTGGCTCTATTTTTCGAAAGCGCTGTCAGCGCATATCGGCCCCCCTGAAGATGGCAATGCAGTTGACGTGCTCTCTCATGTGCCAGTGGTGATTCCAGTGGCGGAAAATTGGCGCGGCTTGTGCTGCAGAGCGCCGCTCGAGTCCAAGGTCCTGCCGACCGTCTACGTGATGTGTTCACTTTTCTTCTCGTGCGTGAGTGGCATCAAGTTCGGAGGCGCTTTCGGAGGATTTCGTCGCGAGGTGAGCTCGCCCTGTGCCGGGGTGAGGCGCCGACAAGTTTTGAGGCTGATTTGCTCGACGGGCGCGGCATTGCGGATCAGCGGGCGCGCCGGGGCGCCGCGGACGCGCTTGCCAGACATATGACAAATCGAAGGACCTGGAGCCTGCCGAGCCATGCGCCCTGCTGGCGTTAACGGCTTCGAGGGCTTTCAGCGGGTGGCTTCCGCAGCGTGCGGGTTGAGTTGAGGTCGTGCGTTGAGCAGCTCAGCGGGCTCGTCGGGCACTGCCCGGGCGATGGCGATGCGCCCGCGTGCGCGAGCAGGTTTCCGCGCGACATCTTCGGCTCTTCCAAGCGAGTGGTGCGCGGGCGCTGGGCCCGCGAATTCCCGCCGCCTGAGGCGGCGGCGTTTTCGATTGTAGTTTGTAATTTGCGCCGTGGGGGGTCTGGTGATTCCGTGCAACGCCTGGTCGACCTATCAGGGGTTGATAGGCGGGTCCTCTGCAGGTCGGATTGGATGTGCCCGCTCGGCGTGCGTGAATGGTGCTCGCAAGGCGCGCCGTTCGAGGAGGAGGAGGAGGAGGAGGAGGAGGAGGAGGAGGAGGAGGAGGAGGAGGGGGAGGGGGAGGGGGAGGGGGAGGGGGAGGGAGGAGGAGGAGGAGGAGGAGGAGGATGAGGTGCGACCCCTCCCCCGCGGCCGCAGGCTCGGGAAGGTCGACGCCCAGAGGCTCGCGTGCCCCGAGGTCCTGCCGCAGGCCAGGCGCAGGTTCCTGCTGGACTGCGAGGCGGGCCGGGGGCGGAAGAGAAGGGCTCGGGGGGATGGTATCGAAGCGTTGATTCCAGGGCGTAAAAAACGCCCCTACCCTGGTTTACGAGGCGCTGTGCGCTGAACCTCCTGTGGGCTGGCAGGGTAGACCCTGCATATCGCGCGTGTCGCGCGGCGTCCTGGCGGCTCTCTGGCCTCTGGGAGCTCCCAGGAGGTTTACGGACCACGCACTTGTAACCCAGGGTAGGGGCGTTTTTGCATCCCTCAATTGATGTCGGCGGCACCCCATCATACTAATACTATGTGGGTGTGCGTCGCCCCCCCAGGGGCGACGCGCGCACCGAGAACAGTGTATGCGTGGTGGCGGGCTCTTTCTGGCCACACCGCTCGGGAAACGATCTACTACAAGATGGGTATACTACACGTTCGGGTCGGACGCGCGCCTCCAAGGAGGACATATAGTACTAGTATGTCTCTGTGCGTCCCAATTGATGATGTCGAGGACATTGCAGACATCGATGTGAGAGGGTCCGAGGACATCGAGGATAATGATGATATCAGGGCATCGATGATGATTTTCATCGTAGAGATCGATGATGTAGATGACATCGTGGATATCGAGGACAATCAGGATATCGGGAATTGAGAATATCGGGGATTGAGGATATCGAGGATCGAGGACCTTGAGGATCGGGCCGAGAATTTAGCTTCGAGGACGTCGGGGATCGAGGATGAAGGACATCGTTGATCGAGGATATCGAGGAACCGGCCTCCCCCCTCCCTGGAGTACCACCCCGCCGCCTGCCGCGCGGCCTCCCCAGCCCGGCCCAGATGCTGCTGAGGGAGAAGTTCCCCGCCTGCTCTCTCGCAGCGGGCCACCTGGTCCACCGCTTCACCAACGTCATCGACCTCCAAGGCCCTTCGGCGGGAGGAGGAGGAGGGGGGAGGAGCACTAGGTGGAGGATGAAGATGTTCTAGGGGCTGAAGAGGAGGAGGGAGGAGGCGGAGGAGGCGGAGGAGGCGGAGGAGGCGGAGGAGGAGGAGGAAGCAACATAACCCGCAGCTTTCTCCTATTCTCTCGCCGCCAGGAGTGGTGGCGTCGGTATGTGGCCCTCCTTGGGCGCTCTCCAGTCCCCCTCTCCCATCCCTCTCCCTCCTTCTACCTTCCCCTTCTCCCACCCTTCCTTTCTCCCTCCATCCCTTCCCTTCACTCCTTCCTTCTCCTCCCCCGCCTTTCTTATTCTTCCTCCCTTCTTCCCCCCTCCCTCTTTCCCCCTTCCTCTACCCTCCCTCCCTCGTCCTTCCCTCCTCCCTCCTCTCTCTCCCTCTACCTCCCATGCTCCCTTCTACCTCGTCCTTCCTCGTACCTCCAAGGCCTCAGCTTCCACACGGCATCGGATCCGCAGTGCAGGGCGCTGATCAAGCAGTTGCTGGTCACCTCCAAGCACTACTTCCCAGAGGTCATGGGCAAGACCATCATAGTGAACGCCCCTCGCATTTTTTCTATATCCTGGAGCGCGCTGAAGTCCAGCCTTGACCAGGCTTGCGGGCGGCCTGGGGGTCTGAATTGGATGGCCCCCAGAAAATCGATCAAGGGGGGGACGAGCCCAAATCATTTCAAAATTGGTTCCCGAATCCCTTCTGGGGTCCACTTGGTGCAGTTTTTCACCCCAGCTCCGTTTTTTACGGCCCCGGGGCCGTCCAGAAGAGGCCAGAAGCCTTCTCGAACCTCGAACCTCGAACTTCTCGCCATTTTTTCGGGGGTGGACAGAACGCCCACCCTAACACGTCGATTGGTGAATTGTCCCTTTTCGGTTCTCGAGAGGGCGCCGCGGCCGTCATTTTCCAGGCTTGCGCCCGCCAGGCTTGGGCCCGAGGTCGTTTTCACAAAACCACGTTTTACTAAAGGGGGTTCTGTCCTGCTGGCCGTGACCAATACTGGGCTACCTCAGACCCCCCAGCCGAGGAGGAGGAGGAGGAGGAGGGGGAGCACGAGGAGGAGGATTGAGGAGGCGGAGGAGGGGGAGGAGGAGGAGGCGGAGGAGGAGGAGCACGAGGAGGAGGATTGAGGAGGAGGAGGAGGGGGAGGAGGAGGAGGCGGAGGAGGAGGAGGAAGAGGAGGAGGAGGAGGAGGAGGAGGAGGAGGAGGAGGAGGAGGAGGAGGAGGACCCAAGACCAGGCCGTGCTGGACAGGATCGAGATCGTCGGCCAGGACCCGAGGATCATGGGCGGCCTAACCGACCCCTAGCAAACCATTCCCTTCCGTGACGTCCCCCTCGCCTCGCGTGTGTGTGTGTGTGCGGCTGGAGGGACGCTTGAAAGGCGAGGACGACGCCATGGAAGGGAATGGTCTGCCAGGGGCCTCACCCTCACCCGCCTCCTCCTCCTCCTCCTCCTCCGCTCCTCCTCCTATCCTCATCCTCCTCCTCCTCCTCCTCCTCCTCCTCCTCCTCCTCCTCCTCCTCCTCCTCCTCCCCGAGAGGAAGGTCCGTGCCAAGCTCCTGCAGGTCATCGAGCCCGACCAGCTGCCCCCGTTCCTCGGCGGCCAGTGCAGCTGCGCCCAGTGCGCCAAGGGCTGCCTCGGGTCCGCGAACGGCCCCTGGAGCCGAGGGCAGCTCGCGGGGCAACGATGGGGGGGGGGGACTCGAGGCTTCGAGGCTTCGAGGTTCGAGGCTTCGAGGTTCGAGGCTACGAGGTTCGAGGTTCGAGGCTCGACATTCTCGGACGTGCTCGCTGGTTCTCTGCGGCCTCTCCAGCCTCGGGCCTTCCTTCGGGCGGCTGCGCCTCGCCGGGAGCGCTCCAGGGGCGCCCAGATCCTCCCGACCTGGCCGCTGGAGAGCCGACTCCTGGCCCGAGGACGCAGGGGGGGATGCATCGGCCCCCCATCGCCCACTGATCGCCGATGGGGGCCCGATGGCTCCGAGCTGCCCGGGAACATCCGGACTCACCCTCGGGGGCCCGTCGCCGATCCATCGGCGAGGCGTCGTCGATGCCGTGCCGATGCTCCCCCCCCCCGCCCCCCCCCTCTGTGCCTATCCCCCCCTATCGCTGCCCCTCCGAAGACAGACACCCCCAGTCCCCGGGCGCCTCGACAAGCGCTGAGGCGCTCTCCGCCGTGGCTCTCCCCTTCCCCCTCTGTGCCTCTGTGCCTATCCCCCTCATCGCCGATTCCCTGCCGAGGTTCCCCCCTTCCCCCCCTGTGCCTACCCCCCCCTATCGCTGCCCCTCCGAAGACAGACGCCCCCAGTCCCCGGGCGCCTCGACGAGCGCTGCGGCGCTCGCCGCCCCGCGGCTCTCCCTTCTCTGGGCCCCCGGAGGCCCGCCTCGGGCCCCGGGGCCGCCGCCGAAGACCGGCGCGGGATGGCACGCGCGTGCAGGGGGAAGGTCGACTAGACGTAAGAGTGACCCTTCGCCGGAGTGACCTTTGGTGCGCGCTCACTGGGGTCCCCCGATCGCCGCGCTCGTTGCGATATTAGCGTCTTGCGCGCTTGTGTTTGGCCTCCTCGCGCCCCCGAAAGAGCCGCGCACCAAAGGTCACTCTTACCCAGGGTCACTCTTACGTGCAGCCGAGAAGGTGTGGAGGATGTCTCGAGCGAGGCGCTCATTTTCACGTCCCTAAGGGGAGCCGCCGAGGGGTATGACACGGTCCCGTTCGCGGCCGTTTTGGGGGGATGTCTCAAGCGGTTGGCCGCCGAAGACCGGCGCGGGACGGCACACACTCTTTTGGTCGGCGGGTCGGGAGCGGGCCCCTTCCGGTCAAGAGCTAAGCAGGACGCGGGTAGCCCCAATTGGGGAGACAGGGCGCGGGCGGGCGGGGCCTCAGGCGGCCGGAGGGCTCAGAAAACAGGCGGTGCCGAAGATCTTGCACAGGACAAGGTACGCCGTGGACTGGAGCAGGGGGCGCGGTCCCGCAGGGAAAGTGGATTGGTGTTGCCGTCAACGGCGCGCCAAGAACACCAGGGGGAAGGGGTCGAGAGCGGGGCTCCAGGGACGGGGGTCGATGCCAACGGGGGTCCGCCAGAGCGAACGATTTTGCAGGATCCAGCAGTGCCAGGGGCGCTCTGGCACGGGCTTGGGTGCCGGATCCTGCTGGGTCTTGCAAGATCCTGCAGAATCCTGCAAGGCCAGATTGACCCAGGTCTGGATTGACCCGGGCCAGTAGATCCCCGACGAGAGACCTGGGGGAGGGCGTAAGCTGCCCGCGTAAGGTCGCGCGTGAGCGCTCTCGTTTTCAGTGTAATGTGCCGCGCCGGCGGCCCGCGTAAGCCGCGGCGTACACGCCAGTTGTTGATTCCCAGATTCCAATCTACTTCAAGCGCCTTCCTACTCCAAGAGTCGACATGCTTCTGCTGTGTTTTGTCATTCTCTGGGAGGGCCTGAACCCAATCTACTTTATCCGCCTTCCTACTTCATGTTTTTGCTTACTTCCTCCGACTGGCACGTAAGGTCGCTATGGTATCTCGCGTAAGATCCCTTACTGATCGTCGCTCGGTGCTTGCCCCTCGAACGGTGCAGGCGCACGCTCACCTGATGTCCGTCCGTCTGCTTGCTGTGGTGCTGCAGGCTCTCGCCCGACTTTTTCCGTGCATGGCAGCAGCACTCTGAGCCGCCCGCCTCCGCGCCCCCAGCGGGGAGACAGCCTGCGCCGCGGGATTCTGTCGACGCCGCTCCTGGCCTTGCTTCGTGCCGGCCGCCCCAGACTCGAGAGGATGATCCGCGAACCGACGGGCACCAGGATCGGCACGATGCCTCCGCGCTTGATGGGCCTGTTTTCCACCCCCACCACCATAAGTTGGAGGGGGAGGGGGTCCTCCTCCTCCTCCTCCTCCTCCGCCTCCTCCTCCTCCTCCTCCTCCTCCTCCTCCTCCTCCTCTTCCTTGTCCTCCACCTCCCTCCCCCCCCCAACTTCTGGTGGTGGTGGTGGTGGTGGAAAACAGGCCCCGCAGCGGTCGGTCCTGGCCGTGGTCCCCGCCGTTCTCCTCGGCACCACCCCGAGGCACGCTGCGCACGAGGCGTGCGCCGGCCGCGCACGGGCGGCGCGCACGCTCGGGAGGCCCGCAGAGCACAAACTCTCCGCGGCGGGCGCTCTCTGGCTGCGCCGCTGGGGGCAGGATGTGCTACACATCGGAGGAGGATGAGGAGGAGGAGGAGGAGGTTTTTTTTTTGATTGCGAGCGTGATTAACCACTGGGGCTGACACGAAGGTGCGGCACTCAACTAGATGCAGACGCTGGCTGTGGCAACTGGGAACGATGCAACAGTGCGTATATGCAGCACGGGCGCCAAGGTTTGGTGAATCTCCCCTCCCCCGTCCTGACCCCACATACCCCCAGATTGGACGGAACTGCACGGGGCTGGCAAGACTAATGGCCAGCTCGACGTAGCTCTCATTCTGCACCGGAAGGGAAGCATAAGGGGCAAGACCGAGGGGAGGTAAGGTAAGATCCGAGAGGAGAGAGCAAGACTGGGACGCAGATCCAAAACTTCCAGCTCCGACCCGACTAAGCTCCTATAAGGCGTTGCCGCACAAGGAACGCACAACAACAGTTCGTCTTCCTCCCTTCTCTCATGAAACCCCCATCCCCCACAGTAGGTGGCGACGGACGGATCAAGACATACTCTGCTCGCGTGCCGTGCCCTACTCGGGCATTGTGGAGGAGAGGCGGAGGGAGGGATAATGATATGAGAGAGGGAGAAAGAGGGCTGGGACACAGACCGAAATCCTCCTGCTCTCGTGACACGGAATAAAGCTTGGGAGAAGGCTGGGACACAGACCGAAACTCTCATGCTCTCGTGATGTCGTGACATCTCGACCTGAGCGGGGTAAGGAAAACTTCGCACCCTCGCGATACGGACGAACGACGACGGCGGAGGCAAGCGGAGGCGATTACCTTCGCGCTAACCAAGGGAGGGAGGGGATGCGACGCATGCTGCGGCAGCTGCTGTTCTTCTCCTGCACCCCCCAATCCTGCGATCCACCCCTCAAACTCCTCCATTACCAGCGTCAGAAAACGCCAAAGGCGCTGACATACAAAGACGTTCCACCGCGTTCCGAGCGGCTACCACTGCAGTCTGGTGCCAGCTACTATACGTTCAGCGATACAAGCATCGATGTCGTCTGTTGAAAGGGACAGCCTCGTGGCCGGCCGAGGAAGAGGAGGAGGTGCAGGAAGACATCCTGGACTCACCCACCTACGCACGTGCATCAGAAAGATCTCTTCGCTAACTCGGCTGTGTATGGGCTCGCGGCTAAGATCAGGAAGCACATGCGCTGGGACGCGCTGTACGCGAACCCATTTCCACTGCAAACTCATGCCCAATTCTACGACGACATATTTGCGAAACGGCGGCCTGCTAGAGGGCCGGAATGCCACCGAGGCCTCGCTCTGTAGCTGCTCGGCATGCACCTCTGCGGCAGGCGCGGCTCTCGCAGGCCTGCGGCCAGCAGGTGCCCTGCTGCTGGCGGCGGCAGTCGCCGCGGCTGCGGCTCCGGCGGCAACCTCAGGCAGCTCCGGAGCAGTTCGACAACCGGACTCGAGGCCCGCAAACTGCCCCGCCACCTCCGCCGCGCGGGCCAACGGGACGGCGTGCGCCTCCGCGAACGCGTCGTAGAGCAGCTCGGAGGGCGCCTCGATGTTGTCGCTGTGGGGCAGCTCCGGAGGCGCCTCGGTGAGCTCGCCTCCATCCGTAGGCTGCGAAACGCATTCCATGGCGACACTCCGAGAGCCGAGGACTCCGAGCCGAACGTCAGAAAGCGGCGGCGGCGGGGGCGCGCGGGGCTCAGCCGGCGCCGCAGCGGGCGGAGCGACAGGCGGCGCGGGCACGCGGCCGACCAGGTGCCCGCAGGGGCCCAGATACGCCGCAAGAGCGCCAGCTAGCGGCGCTGGCAGTGGCGGTGCAACGGGTGGCGCTGCCAGCGGGCCTCCAGCACCAGGCGGGGCCACAGCAGCCTGGTAGATCGGCGAGACCACGACGTCCGCGGTGGACTCGGAGTCGGGGCTGGCGTTGTCGACGACGTCGCTGTGCACGGGCTCTCGCTGCACGTGCGCCTCCAGCACCGGCGCTGGCTCGGCCTCTCGATGATCTTCTTGTCGACCAGCAAGCCAATTGGCAGCAGCGGCATCCGCAAGAGCCGAAACGTCGGCCATACGAGGCGGACGGTGTACACGTGCGGCATAGCCGAGCCTCCGCGCCGCGGCGCGGAGCTCCGGCCTCAGACGGCAGCTGCGACGGCGCCGTCCGGAACATCTCGTAGGCACGTGGCCGGCCCGCAGCTCGCCTGGCAGCCGCGCCAGGGGCGAGTCGAGGCGGCCGGCGCGCATGGCAGCCAGCCCCGCGCGAGGTGCGCTGCTCCTGGAGCAGTTCCAAACACCTCGGTCCGGGGCGGCAGCTGAGGAGGAGGAGGAGGAGGAGGAGGAGGAGGAGGAGGACATTCTTGCCCATGGTACATTCTTGCCCAGACTATTCGATCTTATCGATGGCCCAGGCGCATTTTCCTGGAGGGAGTGTTGAGTGACAAGATGTGGCCAGAGGAAGGCATCATAGCGGGCTCTGCCACGGCTACGTTTGAGGCGAAGGCCTACCTCATTCCTTTAGTCCAGGATC